AAAAGGGGGGTAAAGAGGTTTCTTCGGTCGGCAACGCGCGCGTAATACCTCTGGTATTTCAGGCGTTTATAGGTTATAGGCGGTAACTGCTTACCATCAGGTGGGCCGTATGTTTGTTTGCCACCTTAGTGGTATAAAAATATAATAAAACATTTTATATATATATATATATATATATATATATATATATATATAAAAAGTTTATTTATTTATTTTACGCAATCGAATCATGTCATGAACAGAACGGAGTCTTGCAGTGATTGTGGAAATACTCGTATCATACTTTCAATATGTGCATATTGACTATCAAGATCATTACAGATAATGATACGCTATCATTGCAACGCTTGATGATTAGATTAGATTGATATTGATTATTGGAAATGAGAACATACGGACGGTTGTTTGAGAAAGTTTGCAAGAAAACTCATCAATTACTATCGATATTTTGTGATAGTTTTTTTTTATGGATGATAATGGAATGGTAACCTCGCTTGTGTAGTATACGCTGGCGGGACACTAGTGAGGGATGATAGGCGAGGATGAAAATAGGTCAGTTGGCCCGTTGTGATTATTTCATCACAAATTCTTGCTCTTTCTCCTATTCCATTAACTGTTTTGCTACCTTCATTAATTTATTTTATTGTATTTATATACCTCCATAGAGTTTCCAAGTAGTAAAACTATTACTCAAAAATCCAAAAATAGTATCCAAATTTTAAACCCTTTTACCTTGTTATGAAACATTTCTTTAAGAATTTAAATTCTTCTAAATTTTACGAATAGATTTTTTTGCAAAAAATTACAAAAAAAAAATAACTAAAATATACTCAATCTCATAGTTTAAGTAGTTAGTGTTTTCATTAAAAAAATTAACAAACTGTCCTTCTTCTCCAAAGAAAACGTTGCAAAATTTTAAATAAAAAATACCTTATAGGTAGTAAAAAAAAGAATGGCAAATAATTGGTACAGAACTCGCGATAATAATGGTGGACATTAATGAATTAAATGCACCAATTGTCTTCGAAGGTTTGCCAGAAATGTCGTCAGAGCGTGGACGACAAGCTGTGACGTCAGTGGAATTTACCTACTTGCTTTTTTTTTTCACGGAATATACCCACTGCATACTAAGAATTGGATAAGTGTGTATAGTTCACAGAAATACATTTTAAGCCTTAAAATTAGTGTACTTAAGATTATTTTTCAAGGAATCTGAACATTTAAAAAAGTTGGGGTAGCCATTAACCAATTCTGGGTAAGGCATGGTCCAACCGGTCCCCTTTTATATACACGTATATCTATACCTATAATAAATCTGTAGAGAGGTCAATTCTGTACATGAAATATATTTCCAAAATAACTATCAGGGGGTGATTAGTGATCGATACTGATGCCAAAAATGTACTCAGTAAAATTTTTGTCCGTCTGTATGTTCGTTATAGAAACAAAAACTACTCGACGGATTTTAACGAAACTTGGTACAATTATTCTTCATACTCCTGGGCAAGTTATAGTATACTTTTCATCACGCTACGATCAATAGGAGCAGAGCAGTGAAGGGAAATGTTAAAAATGTCCACCCGTGCGACGCCGGGACGGGCCTCTAGTCTAAAATAAGAATGTGCACATAACACAAAGAGTGGGGCACTTAATTATAATATTTATGGCTAGGGGGGAAAGGGTTTGTTAGTAATACGGACTACCAGTCCCATTGCTGGCAATATACTCTGTCAGGTCGACCTCCACATGGAAACCATCGTGTTGAATTCCAGGCGTATCAATCACGATGGGCTAACTGATCTACCTTTTCATTTTCATCATTCCTCACCGGTGACCCGCCAGCGTATACCGTATATTATAAAAATACTTATGGCTAAGGGTCCCCGATGGTTCGGAAACTAGTCAAGCTTTCTCGATTAAAATAAAAGTAAGTCAATCCGGTAGTCATTACATTAAAATAAATTTAAAATAATTATTATTTGTCTGTATCTATCTATGGTGATGGTGGTGGTAACAAACGGATGGCCGGTTTTAATGCGGTTTTTTATTTGCAAATTAAACTTAAACTTTAACGTATTAGGTTTTATTTGTGACATTCTAATTGAACTTATTTGATAAAAATCTGTCCATTATGTAGATATTTTTAAAACTTTCGTTTACAATATATACTTAATACTTTAAAATGTAAAAGTGAGTGTTTTTGTTTATCACTTCTTAGGGTCTTAACGGCTTAACCATTATATTTGATATACAAGCACTATACGGCACTGATAAGGACATAGACAATTTTTTATCTGTCAGTGAACATATCCAGGTCACGCGGTCGTAGTTGCTGGTAAAAGCTAGTGTTATTAAAAAAAAAGATGGAAATCAATACGCTAATTACAAAGATAATCAATGATTACACATTTGTGTCAGACAGACAGATAATAGTATAATAGTACACTGATAAGTCAAGGATTAAATGCTAAAATATATTTTTACCTAATTTTTTTGCCGTATCTAAGGTTAAACCTTAGATTATGTAGATAGAGTGTCTCCATAGTAATGCTTCGAGAAAAACGTGTCAACTTTTCCATACAATTTTGCGTGATAAATAGTTACCGAGTGTTTCCTTTATTTATTTTGTCTTATAAATTCTGCATTTTTTTAATGTCTGAATACTGATTCAAATTTTTTTCTTTTTAAAGTCTTTTCTTATACAATTTAGAATGACAAACAAGCTGACCGTCCACCTGATGGAAAAAGGTAACCGTCGCCTATAGACATGAGGAGTACCATGGACATAACAGAGTATACTGTTTCGCCCATGATACCCCCCATGCGTTGCCATTCCTGAGGACTCAGGTGTTATTCCTCTGTACCCAGTAAATTCACACCATATCCTACCCTTCAAACCGAAACACAGCCATGCAAACACAACTGCTTTACGGTTGAAACACGAATGGGACAGAGGTACCCGAGCGATCGACTTTTGTACAAAGTCTCCCTCTGGTTTAACATATGTTTTAAGAGGGACGCTGCTGCCCATCCCTCTACCACATGCTCCCTTACTCGCCTCTTACGACATCCACGAGAAAGGAAGAGGTGGTCCATTCTATGCCGCGACCTACACAGTGAGAATTTGTATCTAGTTTTAAGATTATTAAAATCGCTGACCATAGTTGTTCAGAGGAACTCAAATATATAGATTTCGAACCGGTACCATGCCTACTAAATATACGTACGGGTCAATGTACGACCCGTTCGTTGCTTACCTTTGATAATACACAAACATTTTTAGTCAAACCACATATCTATCACTTACAGGTAAGTATTGAATACGATTTAAAATGCTTTTGAAAAATATTTTTTTTTAATTTTTTTTTTATACCACAAAGATGTCAAACAAGCATACAGGCCGTCTGAAAAGTAAAAGGTCCGATAAACGGTCACTGTAGTCTATGGACGCCTGCAACACTAGCGGGGTCACGTGCACGTTGCCACCCCTGAAGAAGCCTTAATACACCCTTTTTGAAGAATTAAAAAAATAAAATTCTAAAATTAATAAACGTGAATACTAAATTTCATAGTCATTGGTCAAGTCATTAATGTGTTATTAGATAACAGAAAAAAAAAACACACATGTTTATAATAATATACACGTGTAAAATCAATAAACTTTGTTTTGACTCTTATCGCCATCTACCGGCTCTATTTTTAAATACTTCATTTCTTATAAGGACAATCTCTCTAGTTAAAGCAGATAATGCATTTATAAAATATAACGTGAACAATGATCGTTAAATTAAATTTTTCAATCGACTTCAAAAAAGGACCTCAACCTCATAACCCTGTTAATTATAAATCGATTTGGAAAATTCGGAAACGGAAAATTCTTCTTCCGTCTGAACGGATATATTTTAGGTCCGATAGAGTTTTATTAAAATTGGTTCTATAGTTTTGTTTTTAAATCAAAATAGAACTTTTTTTTTTATAATTGAAGTCGTTTTTTTTTGTGTATTTTTTTCGGGGTATAACACCTGAGTTTTCAAGAATGGCAACGCATGCGGAGTATTATGTGCGATACAGTGTACTCTGTTATATCCATGGTACTGCTCGTGTCTATAGGCGACGGTTACCACTTTCCATCAGGTGGGCCATCAGCTTGTTTGCCATTCTAAGTTGCATGAAAAACATAAATTATGTATAGGTACTGAAGATTATGGCTGGAAGAGATCTCTTTTGGAGATAAGCCCACCCTTGCTAACAAGTTGTTAAACTAATCGCTGTATCTATTGTTCAAGTGCAATAAAGAATAATATTTATATATATTTGCAAGAAAAATTGATGAAAAAGACTAGTATCTATATATAGGTGTCTATGTATTCTATTTTATGTATGTGAAGACAAAAAAAACATATAACCGATTTTAAATTAGTCTTTCAGGAACACAACTGTGGAAACTGCGTGGGAGTTTTATTTATTTATTATTTATTTAACTCTTTATTGCACTATAAATAAAAATATACAATGACAAGTGAATAATTCAAATGAAATACAGTAACATAAATACAGATTGAAATATACAATAAAGGTATTGACAACCTTTTTTTTAAAGGAGAACAGATAGAAAAGGGCAGGTGGCGCAAGAGTGAATTAATTTTAGTGTTATTTATAAACAAAATGTTTCTTTTTTTTATAAATAACATCTATTGCTCTTATTAGGAGCCCTTATATTAATTTTTTTTTTTAAATATCTCTCGCGTACAATCATCGTTAGCTTATAATTTTATAACATGTATTTTTAAATATTTATTTATTTTAATAATTTAATTTTCAAATTACTTCTGCCTAAAAGTGATAAGGAAATAAACTACTGAAGTGCACAAAATTTATCTTTTATAAATGAATAGGTACATGTGGGTTTATTATTTACAACCAGCCAGTATTAATGTATTGAAATGTGAAGGCACTGTTCAGTAATATTAAAAAAAAAAAGTATTATATCTATTACTTACATTTCGGTTGTCTTGCCACTTGACCTTTTCTCCGCCTCTCAAATAATCGATTGATAATGGCATCTTTCTTTTGATTAAAATCAAGATCATCGCTGAATTTGTTATTCAAACCCTCGCATTCAGCCAAATTCGCTTCAATTGCGGATGTATCGATGTCACTTGATTTTAATCTATTATTTGATATATCACAGAGTTCCCGATCTGTAATATTCACTGACGAGTAACGGCGGGTTGTCACTCGATTCCAAATTTGAACAAGTTCCTTCATTTTTTTATTTTTTTTTTCTACCAATAAAGTGAGGCACACAACACTACTGATGGTCCACGTCAAATAAACGTGCAACTTTTACGTAACACTTATATTAACTGAGTTAGTTTATTAGTTTTTAATTGCACTCATTTAATATCAATTCTGTTTACGCACACTTTATGTTGTTGGCTCCTAATTATATTTCAATATTGAAGTTAACCGAATCAACAGTACTTCAGTAACATTGGTTAGTCAATTAGACCAGTACAGTAAAATATTTACTCAATTAATATACTTATTTATAAAACAAAAATGAGTCACAGTATTACAGACTACATTACAAAAATATAAACGATAGAGAAAGAAAACAGAACGCCCAATGTTAGAAAAAAAAAGTAACAAAGAACTGTCAATTGATATGCAAAAAGCGCGCGAACAGTCCTTTAAAAATTTTAAATTATCGTTCCAAATAGTTTTTAATGAAAACTTTTCCGGCACAGGTATGCACAGCACACTTCGTTATAAGTAAATAATAATTTAATGACGTATGCCCTCCTATGACCGCACGCACCGACAACTTAACAATCAAATGAGATTTAACCACTGATTTCTTGTGTTTATATAAATTTCGCAAGATCGCGCGCACCGGCTCGCTGCAGCGGGTAAAGGCACATACGTCAATTTATTGCATCCGTGACCGCTAACCCGTAATGGATATTCTAAATAGAATTTTTACCTTGGAAAATACTTTTTCTTTATTGAAAGGCAAAGGGCTTTCGTTATAAAAGTCGTTTTTTTTAGCTTTGAAGAGATTTTGATTGCAATAATATCTTCTTTAACTAGAAACTGTTATCTGTGAAAATGTCTTTATGTTTAATTAAACAGTCATATTTATTTATATAAGTAGTGAATTTTTCTAATCTGATTAAAATTATAAATATGAAAGTAAGATTGTTTTATTAGTTTCTTTCAGCTTAAACAATCATTGTGAAAAAGTTAATACATATAAATTTTGATGTGGAAAGGACATAGTTAATTTTTATTTCGGTCATGTAATATATAGTACTCAGAATGGAAGAAGTTACACGGTCATAACTATTATTCAGTATATTATACTTAAAAATAATGGAATTCGTTCTTGCTCCAATTATTTTATGTACGTTATAGTTATATCTATAAAACTTTTATTCAAATGTAATCGTGCTCCTTCACACTCTTGCTTTAAGGAGTCAAAAAATAAATAAAATATTAGCGAAATTGACCTAAAACTAATAATTCTTTCTGCCTAGTCATGAAATATTTTAATAAATATTCTTGCTGTATCATAATATAGTTATTTTATTTTGTTTTAAATTGTTTTATTATTATTAATATATTTATTATTCAATTAAAAAAACACGGCAGTCGACTTTGTGATATGTGACCGTATATTTTTTAATGCACGAGCGATAGAATTCTAACGCTCACTTACTTAATAAAAAAATGTATAAACTTATTGTACCTACATACGCATTAATAAATAGCTTTTGTTGTGCAAGTTTCATTGTGTTAGTGAATAAATGTTTGTCAACTCGAAGTTAGTTCAGAGTTTCAAATGTAAAAGAAATGTTTTAAAGTCTCTATCAATTGCGAAAAGAATTGGCAAAATCGGTTTACAATTGCCAACTTAATCGCGTAATAGTCACAAAAGTGTTTAAACGAATTAAGACGCTGTTTTGAAAGTTGCTAAAAATAGATTATAGGGGATTTAATTAGACCTACAGATATCTTAAACCGCGGGATATCGTTAAGGTAACATATAGGATCTATGAAATGATGGTATAAGGCAGGGGGCTTAACAGCTTAGATTATCCCATATGCGAAAAATAAGGAAAATGAGGACCTTGGGGGTGTCATAATTTTTTTTATAATATATGGGGAGACCACGTATATTTTTGAGTGTGATTTATCTATGAGACTTTATTGAATTAAATTTATTTGAAATATTAACGTATTAATTTGCTTTTTTTGCTTGATTTTCACTGAAATATGAGGAGAAAGAAAAGTTAGTATGAAATTTTTGTTAAGATTTTGAGACTATGTCAAATTCCTTCTTTCCCTTATATATTAAGGTTTCTTCAGAGTAGGCAACGCGCGTGTCACACCTCTAATGTTGCAGGCGTCTATAGGCTACAGTATCCGTTTACCATCAGACGGGCTGTATGCTTGTTTGCCACGTTTGTGATATAAAAAAAAAAACCGTGATAGGTACTGACGGTAATTCTTTTTTCAATCGATAATCTTTACTCCAGTTTTGCCCCCGTAATTTTGTCACGATCAAAGTTGTGTTTTTACGTAGCAATTTTTTTTTTATGTAATCAAAATTTGTACTTGGAATTTGTAATTGAAAAATTTAAACATATATAAATGTTACATTTAATCACACTGTAGATTCCTATGTAAACTGTAAATTCGGACATATGTATATAGTATAAAAAGAATATGGCTTAAATATGCGCTTGTGGTTTATTTAATGGTTCAGGTCACGGTAGTCGTGTTGCCATTATGAGGACATTCGAGAAACTTTTTGTTATTATAATATGTAGAAGGTCCTGACTCAGTGTTGCCAATGAGAGTGTGGGCATGTTACTACATTTACGAGTATATTTATGCATAATTATTTTATTTATTTATTTATACTTTTGCACACATTAGAGAATGTCTACAGGGCAGACTTAATGCCTGATGGTATTCTCTACCAGTCAACCGTTACACTAGGGGGGGGGGGGAGGAATGGTATTGTTAGTAAGGCGGACTATCAGTCTCATTGCTAGCAATATACCCCATCAAGTCGGCCTCTACGTGGTCCCCTCTGGAAACTATCGTGCTGAATTCTAGGTGTATTCATCACGATGGGCTAACTGACCTGCCTTTTCATTCTCACCAATCATCCCTCATTGGTGCTCCGCCAGCATATACAGTTAGCGCAGGCGGTGTTACCATTCCACTATCATCTATTGAAAAAAAATACCGTTACGCTAAAGAGAAAGAGAGTAAATGGCGATGCATTAATTTAACAAAACAATTTGAAAGTTTACTCGTAATAAATATTTTGGAAAATAACAACATTAATACATTTTAAGATAAATGAAAATATAGAATAATACATTCACAAAAATTATACATACATAAAACATATACAATACAATACATATATAAATAATTATACACAATACATATTAATATAATATTTATATAAGTCAAGATTGATTATATTATATACAGATTGAAATTCTTCATTGTTGTTTTAATTTTTTTGTTTGTTTTACATCAATTATAAATAAATCGTGTTAATGTTTTTTTTATGCAACTTAGAATGGCAAACAAGCTGACGGCCCACCTGATTGAAAGTTGTAACCGTCGCCTATAGACACGAGCAGTATCATGGACATAACAGAGTAAACTGTTTCGCCCATGAAACCTCTTATGCGTTGCTATTCCTGAGGACTCAGGTTATTCCTCTGTACCTTGTAAATTCACTGCCATATCCCACCCCACAAACCGAAACATATCCATGCAAACACAACTGCTTCATGGTACAATCACGAATGTGACAGAGGTACCCAAGCAAACGACTTTTGTACAAAGTCTCCCTCTGGTAAAAAAATTTGCTAATATACCAAGTTGTTCTGTCGTATTTGTGTTTCGTCGTATTTTTTTTCTGGATAGGGATACCCTTATCACTTAGCGTTATGCAATGTACTATTCGAATACCTACCAAATATATATAAAAAAGTCATAAAAAATGGTCGTATCGTTTCGAGAGGAGAAGACAAGGTCGACCACAAACACGACATTATATATAAGAATCTAACTGGACGATGTCGGGGGGAAAGGGATTGTAAGTAATGCGATCTCACAGGCCCATTACTAGCAATATACCCTATCAGGTCGACCTCCACGCGGTTCCCCCTGGAAAGCATAGTGGTTAAGTTTTGAAAATTCATCACGATGGGTAAACTGACTTGCTTCATTCTCACCTATCATCTCTCATTAGGTCCCGTTAGCGAATACCGATAGCGCAGGCGGAGTTCATCTCCATATTTCAGCCGTTAACTGTCCACTGCTGGACTCAAACTTTCCCCATAAGAGGAATTTTGCCAGTAGTTGCCACTTTTGGCATGCGCATTGGTAACCGCAGTTAGGCTTTTAGTGATGTTTTAAAAGGGACGCTGCTGCCCATCCCTCCACCATAAACTCTCTTAGTCGCCTCTTACGACACACAGAGGAAAGGATGGGGTGGGCTATTCCATGTCGCGGCCACACGGCAGGCGGAGTTACTATTCCATTATCATCCATTAAAAAAAAAAAAAAACTAGACGACGTCTATACATGGAAGATATTAAAAAAATATGCAAGGGGTTTTTAAATCTAATTCAATTTATTCTATAACAATATGATAGGATTTTTAGACTGACTCACCAGAGGGAGATTTTGTACAAAAGTCGTTTGCTTGGGTACCTCTGTCCCATTCGTATTTCAACCGTGAAGCAGTTGTGTTTGCATGGCTGTGTTTCGTTTTGAAGGGTGGGATATGGCGTGAATTTACAGGGTACAGAGGAATAACACCCAAGTCCTCAGGAATGGCAACGCATGGGAGTATTATTGGCGAATCAATATACTTTTTTATGTCCACGATACTGCTCATGTCTATAGGCGACGGTTACATTCTATCAGGTGGGCCGTCAGCTTGTTTACCTTTCTAAGTTGCATAAAGAAAACCTATACAAGTGCAAAATCACAAACATGCAACAATCTTACATATTAATAATGTCACATTTTATTAGGAGTAATAGAATTCAAAACAGTAATTTTTAGAAATTTTGTCTGTCTGTCTATATATTTGTTTTAGCATCACACAAAAACTACTGCACCGGATTGGATGCAGTTTTCACAGTTGTATCTCTGAAGATATAACTTAAAATCTAGTGTATTTATTTCATTGGTTTGAAGAAGATGTCTTTTTTTTATTTGTTTACGATGCGTTTAATTCACAATTCTCTCTGCCTATCTCGTTAGCGACCTAGCATGAAGATAGAACAGATAAAACGTGTCCCAATAACCACTATACGCGATGCCGGTCGCTCGATATCATCTTACAAATAATCACGTAGTTATGTTTAGTTTATTTAATCATAATAATTTTATATTATTACGATTTTATGTAACTTCGGAGAATTACTTAATATATATATATATAGATAAAAGTTGAATAAATATTGTGCAATTTTGCGCTCAAGTTCATGGTTTAAATTACTTTTTTATTATCTTAGTATTTTTTTTTTTTGTGTTTTGTGTTACTGAAAATGGAGTGTGACCGATTGAATGAAAATGGAGATTTTTTATACCACTGAGGTGGCAAACAAACATACGGCCCACCTGATGGTAAGCGGTTACCGTAGCCTATGAACGCCTGCAATACCAGAGGCATTACGCGCGCGTTGCCGACCCAAAAGAAACCTCTTTACACCCCTTTTGAAGAACCCCATGCTGTAGTCTCTTGGGAAAACTTCGGCAGGGATCGACATCCCAGGAGGGATATCGTACTTTT